AGGAGTGCACAAACAAACAGGAGTGCACAAACAAACAGGAGTGCACAGACGAGTGCACAAACAAACAGGAGTGCACAAACAAACAGGAGTGCACACAGATGTGATGCATGAAGACAGATGTTCGACTGTTCAGTCGTTATATTTGTACATAAATCTGATAACAATGGGTGTAAGTATGTTTGAAAAGTTTCTAGTATTCTTAAAAACGTCTCGTTTAGCCTCGTGAAGATGCACCTTTTTGTTTCCAGTGATGATGTCACAGCTTTAAGCCTCGTTTGCTTTGCTTTACGAGCCGTGGCTCTCATGACCTCAACATTTCAGAGGAAAACGGCACAAAGCTGCATCGTATCTGCTAACGCTGCACCACAGGTCCAGCTCCCTCTGTCAACATATAAACTGCCGAGGTTAAACTCTCATCCTAATCCCAGTTTTTAGCAGTTTAATCTCCAAAATGACCAACACTGTGGTCCACTTGGATAAAAAGTGCAAGTTTTCCATGAACCCAACATCTGCAGACCGATATTTGTTCTCCAGAGATCCTTGTGACGACGTTTGAAGCTCCCTGAGGTGATAAACCTGTTACCTGGTTTAGATAATCCAGGTAAAACAACCTACAATTATTCCATAAACCAACCCTGAAACCCAGGTCTCTCTTGTAAATGAGTCCTCGAGGCTCAGTGGGATTTACCTTTCTAGATTATTGGTTCAGGGAGTCTAAAAATAATCTTATAATCAGAATATTTCACCTTATTATGAGCAAACAGTTTTAATGTTTGATGGACTGTTTCCACCTGATGATGCAACTTCCTGCAGGAGAAGAACGTGCAGAAAGAAAGTGAGGAGGGCGTGAAGGAAGAGCCCCGACCCTTAAAAACTTTGGATACTTCAGAGACTCGTGGGTCTGACGGTGTCGGGCGATGGGGGGAGGGGTCCGGTCAAACCTCGTGTGTGTGTGTTGTGGCGTGGTTTGGGTTAGTGATGGGTGGGGGCTGGGTGGAGCTGTATTGCGTAAGGGATCATTAAGCAAAGGTTGTGTGTGTGTGTGTGTGTGTGTGTGTGTGCTGACCACACCTCTGCGGCTGTCTCTGAGGGGAGTGGACCTTCCTGACTGAAGATAAAGTCCCCAGGAAGCCGACCCTCTTGCTGTTCTCTCAGCCGAGTCTGAAACTTCCAGATTAAAGCTTCACGTTTAGTTTTGAACAAAAACCTTCCCGTTCGTCAATAATTGTCTGAAAGTTCACAAACGTTCACGCTTCTGTACGTTTTTCTGCACGTAACTCCGTTCCACAACTTTTGCGCTTTTTCCACAACTGGTGTCTCAAAACGTTCGGCTCATTCAGGACGTTCCCGTTCTGATTTTATTATCTGTGCAATACTTTTTGAAGTATTGAGCTTTTTCGGCCACGTTCTTCACGTCCTTCAAAGCTTTTGTGCTGTTTCAAACCTTTAGCTGCTCATTTCAGCTTTTGATCTTCCTTTCAGCTTCTTTCTGCTATTTTAGCTACTTTTAAAATGTATTTTTCAGCTTTTCTCTGCCCATTTCTGCTACATCTCTTAAGTTTTTCTGCTTTTATTTTGCTGCTTCAGCAAATGTCAGCTGTTCAAATTCAGCTCAGTTCTCAGGTGAAACATTTTCAGCTGTTTCAGCTTTTTCGGCGACTTTCATCAAAAATCAGTCAGCGTTAACTCTCGCACTGCGTTTTCACAGGAAGTGACCTTTCTCCAGCTCTGCTCTCCAGATGTTTTCTGTAGACCCAACTCGGAGACTGAAGTTTTGTTCAGGTGGCCTCAGATTAGCAGCTGCATGCAGATCTTTGCTCACCGGCTTCTGTCCTCTGAGACGCAGCACCAACAACCCTTTGTCCACATCTCTTTACGTCCTGGTTGGAGACGACGTGAGGTCCGTCTCAGAAAACATCTGCAGCGAGCTGACCGGTGATGAAGATCCTGTAATCTCAGTCCAAATGATTGATCATCTTTACAGATCTGTCGAGTGGAAGTTCGGTTAATGAGTTAATCCCGTGATATCCCGAGTTCCCTAATCTCAAAACAAAGTCTATAAATACTGTGATTTGTCCGGCTGACGATGAGACAGCTGTTCTGATGACCTGCGACAGACGACTGAGCAGGCTGAACTCTAAACTGTTTCATGAACTGGAAACGGCCGATACGCCCGTGTCCCCACCGCTGAGGGACTTGAACAGTGAATGTTTGTAGTTTAAGAGTTGAGTGTTTTTCTGGTCAGGAGTTGAACAGAGAATGAAGTAAACCTAAATGTTTTTGCTGCAAAACATTGAAGTGGGCAGGAGTTACACTGTGGAGGAACAGAGGGAGGTTTTTCTTGTCTGAGGTGGAGCAGAAGGAGTAATTTTATCCACCAACAGGTGCAGTGGAGGAGCCAGGGGGTGGCTAATGGTGGCCCTGACCGCTAGAGAGTAATCTTTGACCACCCCAATGATTTGAGGAAACCGTACTTTTAAGCAGTATTTAAAAACTACCATAGAAAGCACCGTTTCCTCAAAACACACACACACACTCTTATAAATGTTCTTTTTGGGGACTTTGCATTGACTTGCATTCATTTTCTATAGCCTAACCCTGACCCTAAACCTAACCACTACTTCAGTCCACGGAGGTCTGCGCATACCGGATTAGAGTTGAAGTGAACGCCCGCAGGGCATGTTCGTGCAAAACTCAATTTTTACGACCGCGTACGTGTACTCTGTGTCGCACAATAAACTGCCCGGCGATGGACTGTTTTGTATGCGACACCGGTGTATTAAATTCCCCTTCTTCA